GGCTGCGTAAAGGCTCCCCTGGGGAGTTCTCTTGTACCCAAAGCCTTCCTTTGTGGGCACTTTTCGATGGGCGAAAAGAGCTCGCATCGCATTTCCTGGGGCCTGATTTTTCAGTTGTCTACGATGCCGGCTAGGGTTATGTTTAGGGATGCTCCGAAAAAGTGAACCCGGAGGGTCCAGTTGCATGTGGGGCTGCGTAAAGGCTCCCCTGGGGAGTTCACTTGTACCCAAAGCCTTCCTTTGAGGGTACTTTTGGATGGTCCAAAGGGACTCCAAACGCTTTTTCTGGGGCCTGATTTTCAGTCGTCTTCGATGCCGGCTAGGGCTATGTTTAGGGATGCTCGGAAACAGCGAACCCGGAGGGTCCAGTTGCATGTGGGGCTGCATAAAGGCTCCCCTGGGGAGTTCTCTTGTACCCAAAGCCTTCCTTTAGGGGCACATTTGGATGGGCGAACACGGCTCGGAACGCATTTCCTGGGGCCTGATTTTTCACTTGTCTCCGATGACGGCTAGGACTAGGTTTAGGTTTGCTCAGGAACAGCGAACCCGGAGGGTGCAGTTGCATGTGGGGCTGCGTAAGGCTCCCCTGGTGAGTTCACTTATACCCAAAGCCTTCCTTTGGTGACACTTTTGGATGGTCCAAAGGGGTTTGCAACGCGTTTCCCTGGGCCTGATTTTTCAGGTGTCTTCAATGCTGGCTAGGGCTATTGTTAGGGATGCTCGGAAACAGCGAACCCGGAGGGTGCAGTTGCATGTGGGGCTGCGTAAAGGCTCCCTGGTGAGTTCACTTATACCCAAAGCCTTCCTTTGGGGGCACTTTTGATGGTGCAAAGGGGCTTGCAACGCGTTTTCTGGGGCCCGCTTCTTCAGTCGTCTCCTATGCTGGCTAGGGCTACGTTTAGAGTTGCTCAGGAACAGCGAACCCGGAGGGTCCAGTTGCATGTGGGGCTGCGTAAAGGCTCCCCTGGGGAGTTCTCTTGTACCCAAAGCCTTCCTTTGGGGCACTTTTGGATGGGCGAAAAGGGCTCGGAACGCATTTCCTGGGGACTGATTTTTCAGTCGTCTCCGATGACGGCTAGGGCTATGTTTAGGGATGCTCAGAAAGAGCGAACCCGGAGGGTCCAGTTCCATATGGGGCTGCGTATAGGCTCCCCTGGGGAGTTGACTTGTACACAAAAGCCTTCCTTTAGGGGCACATTTGGATGGGCGAAAACGGCTCGGAACGCATTCTTGGGGCCTGATTTTTCACTTGTCTCCGATGATGGCTAGGGCTAGGTTTACGTTTCCTCAGGAACAGCGAACCCGGAGGGTCCAGTTGCATGTGGGGCTGCGTAAAGGCTCCCCTGGGGAGTTCACTTGTACCCAAAGCCTTCCTTTGGTGACACTTTTGGATGGTCCAAAGGGGCTTGCAACTCATTTTCTTGGGCCTGATTTTTCATTAGTCTCCGATGACGGCTAGGGCTGTATTTAGGTTTGCTGAGGAACAGCGAACCCGGAGGGTCCAGTTGCATGTGGGGCTGTGTAAAGGCTCCCCTGGGGAGTTCTCTTGTACCCAAAGCCTTCCTTTGGGGGCACTTTTGGATGCTCCAAAGGGGCTCGCAAAGCATTTCATGGGGCCTGATTTTTCACTCGTCTGCGATGACGGCTAGGGCTACGTTTAGGTTTGCTCAGGAACAGCGAACCCGGAGGGCCCAGTTGCATGTGGGGCTGCGTAATTGCTCCCCTGGGGAGTTCACTTGTACCCAAAGCCTTCCTTTGGTGACGCTTTTGGATGGTCCAAAGGGGCTTGCAATGCGTTTTCTGGGGCCCGGTTTTTCAGTCTTCTCCCATGCCAGCTAGGGATATATTTAGGGTTGCTCGGAAACAGCAAACCCGGAGGGTCCAGTTGCGTGTGGGGCTGCGTAAAGGCTCCCCTGGGGAGTTCACTTGTATCCAAAGCCTTCCTTTGGGGGCACTTTTGGATGGTCCAAAGGGGCTCGCAACGCATTTCCTGGGGCCTGATTTTCACTCGTCTCCCTTGACGGCTAGGGCTACATTTAGGGATGCTCGAAACAGCAAACCCGGAGGGTCCAGTTGCATATGGTGCTGCGTAAAGGCCCCTCTGGGAACTTCAGATGTACCCAAAGCCTTCCTTTGGGGGCACTTTTGGATGGGCGAAAACGGCTCGCAACGCGTTTCCTGGGGCCTGATTTTATAGTCGTCTTCGATGCCGGCTAGGGCTATGTTTAGGGATGCTCGGAAACAGCGAACCCGGAGGGTGCAGTTGCATGTGGGCTGCGTAAAGGCTCCCCTGGGGAGTTCTCTTGTACCCAAAGCCTTCCTTTGGTGACACTTTTGGATGGTCCAAAGGGGCTTGAAGTGCGTTTTCTGGTGCTCGGTTTTTCAGTCTTCTTCCATGCCGGCTAGGGATATATTTAGGGTTGCTCGGAAAAATCGAACCCGAAGTGTCCAGTTCATGTGGGGCTGCGTAAAGCTCCCCTGGGGAGTTCACTTGTACCCAAAGCCTTCCTTTAGGGAGCACTTTTGAAATGGCGAAAAGGGGCTCTCAACACCTTTCCTGGGGCCTGATTTTTCAGTCGTCTTCGATGCCGGCTAGGGCTATGTTTAGGGATACTCGTAAACAGCGAACCCGGAGGGTCCAGTTCCATGTGGGGCTGCGTAAAGGCTCCCCTCTGGAGTTCTCTTGTACCCAAAGCCTTCCTTTGGTGACACTTTTGGATGGTCCAAAGGGCTTGCAACGCGTTTTCCGGGGCCCGGTTTTTCAGTCTTCTCCCATGCCGGCTAGGGATATATGCAGGGTTGCTCAGGAACAGCGAACCCGGAGGGTCCAGTTGCATGTGGGGCTGCGTAAAGGCTCCCCTGGGGAGTTCACTTGTACCCAAAGCCTTCCTTTGGTGACACTTTGGGATGGTCCAAAGGGGCTTTCAACACGTTTTGTGGGGCCCGGTTTTTCAGTCTTCTCCCATGCCGGCTAGGGATATATTTAGGGTTGCTCGGAAACAGCGAACCCGGAGGGTCCAGTTGCATGTGGGGCTGCGTAAAGGCTCCCCTGGGGAGTTCTCTTGTACCTAAAGCCTTTCTGTGGGTGCACTTTTGAATGGGCGAAAAGGGCTCGCAACGCATTTCCTGGGGTCTGATTTTTCACTCGTCTCCGATGACAGCTAAGGCTACGTTTAGGTTTGCTCAGGAACAGCGAACCCGGAGGGTCCAGTTGCATGTGGGGCTGCGTAAAGGCTCCCCTGGGGAGATCACTTGTACCCAAAGCCTTCCTTTGGGGGCACTTTTGGATGGGCGAAAGGGGCTTGCAACGCGTTTTCTGGGGCCCAGTTTTTTCAGTCTGCTCCCATTCCGGGTAGGGATATATTTAATCTTAATGTGAAGTAGCGTACACGGAGTGTCAAGGTGCATTAGGGTGAGCGTGAGGTTGAGGGTGAGTGTGAGTGTTGTTAGGGTTAGGGGTTCGGGTTCGGGTTCGGGTTCGGGTTCGGGTTCGGTTTGGGTTCGGGTTGGGTTTGGGTTCGGGTTTGGGTTCGGGTTTGGGTTCGGGTTGGGTTCGGGTTTGGGTTCGGGTTGGGTTCGGGTTCGGGTTCGGGTTCGGGTTTGGGTTCGGGTTTGGGTTCGGGTTTGGGTTCGGGTTTGGGTTCGGGTTGGGTTCGGGTTGGGTTTGGGTTCGGGTTTGGGTTCGGGTTTGGGTTTGGGTTCGGGTTTGGGTTCGTGTTTGGGTTCGTGTTTGGGTTCGTGTTTGGGTTCGTGTTTGGGTTACTGTTCGGGTTCGGTTTCGGGTTAGGTTTAGGGTTCGGGTTCGATTTAGGGTTAGGGTCAGGGATCGGGTTAGGGTCCGGGTTCGGGTTCGGGTGCTGGTTAGGGTTCGGGTTCGGCACCGCCCGGACACATTTAAGCGCAACGCTGCCCGGACACATTTTAGCGCGGCACCGCCTGGACACATTTAAGCGCAACGCCGCCGGACACATTTTAGCGGGTCAGCGGCATTTGCGGGGCTTACCGGGGGGGGGGTCCATGGGGTGGGGGGACCCCAAGGTGAGGGGGGGGGACCAAAATGAGGGGGGACCAAGTGTGCGGGCTGTGGTTTCCGGGGGGACGCATTTGCGGGGCTCACCGGGGGGGGGGGACCAAAATGAGGGGGGAACCAAGTGTGCGGGGTGCGCTTGCCGGGGGGACGCATTTGCGGGGCGCACCGTGGGGGGGAACCAAAGTGAGGGGGGAACCAAGTGTGCGGGGTGCGGTTGCCAGGGGGACGCATTTGCGGGGCGCACCGTGGGGGGGGGGGGAACCAAAATGAGGGGGGAACCAAGTGTGCGGGGTGCGCTTGCCGGGGGGACGCATTTGCGGGGCGCACCGTGGGGGGTGGGAATCAAAATGAGGGGGGGAACCAAGTGTGCGGGGTGTGGTTGCCAGGGGTTTAGGGTTAGGGATATGGTTAGGCTTAGGGTTCATTAGGGTTAGGGTTAGGGTTAAGGTTAGTGTTAGGGTTAGGGATAGGGTTAGGCTTAGGGTTCATTAGGGTTAGGGTTAGGGTTAGGGTTAGGGCTTAGGGTTATGGTTATGGTTAGGGGGTTAGGGTTCGGGTTCGGGGTTCCTAAGAGGAGGAAGAGTTCTTTGGGGTTCCTAAGAGGAGGAAGAGTTCTTCGAGGAGGAGGAGGACGAGCTGGAGGAAGAGCTGGGCGAGGAGGACTTCGAGGAGGAGGAAGGTCTCTCGGAGGAGGAGGACGAGGAGGAGGAAGAGGAGGAGGAGGGAGAGGAGGAGGAGGAAGGCGGCAAGGCTGAGGAAGGCGCCCCCCCCCGCGGTGACGCTGCCGGAGGAGGAGGAGGAGGAGGAAGAGGAGACGGGCGCCCTGCTGATGGAGGTGGATGAAGGCCAGCCCCCCCCCTGCGAGGAGGAGGAGGAGGAAGGGGGGGGCCAGCAGCCCCCAGCGAATCAGGTGGAGGAGGAGGAGATGATGGGGGGGAGGAAGGGCAGCTCCCCCGGGTAGCCCCCAGCCCCCCGGCCCCCCCCCGAGGGTCCCCCCCCAGCCCTGGAAGCTGCGCCCCCCCCTCGCCCTCCGGAGCCGCCCTCCCCCGAGGGGCCCAAGGGGGACGGGGGCAGCCCCGAACCCCCCCCCGCACCCCCCCCGGACCCCCCCCAGCTGCAGGGAGAGGAGGAGGAGGAGGAGGAAGAGCCCCCGCCCCCCCCGGGCAAGGGAGAGGTGAGTGTGGGGGGGTTTGGGGCAAGATTGGGGGGTTTTGGGGCAGTTTGTGTGGAACTGGGGTGGTTTGGGGCAAGATCGAGCGGGTTTGGGACAGTTTTGGGTGTGATTGAGGTGGTTTGGGGCAAGATGGGGTGGTTTTGGGGCACTTGGGGTGAGAAGGGGGTGGTGGGGGTGGGATGGGGTGGGGTCAGGGGTCGGGGGTCAGGCGCTGACCCCGCTGTGCCCCCAGGCCCCCGACCCCACGGCCTCCATGCTGGCTGACTTCATCGACTGCCCCCCCGACGCCGCCCCGTGACCCCGCCGGGACCCCCCCCAACCTCAGAGCCCCCCCAGAGCCCCTCCCCTGCCCCTCACCAGACCCCGACCCCCCCAGAACAAAATAAAGTTTCTAGAACCTTCCTCTCGGTGCCTTTGCGTTGGTTTTTGATGGGCGAAAGGGGCTGGGAAGGCTTTGGGTACAAGTGAACTCCCCAGGGGAGCCTTTACGCAGCCCCACATGCAACTGGACTCTCCGGGTTCGCTGTTCCTGAGCAAACCTAAACGTAGCCCTAGCCGTCATCGGAGACTGAATGAAAAATCAGGCCCCAGGAAATGCGTTCCGATGGGGACGGACATACAGACAGCTGGGGATGGTCATACAGAGAGGAGTGGTTGGAGAGCTGCCAGGCAGAGAAGGACCTGGGAGTGATGGTGGACAGTCGGCTGAATATGAGCCAGCAGTGTGCTCAGGTGGCCAAGAAGGCCAACGGCATCCTGGCTTGTATCAGAAACAGTGTGACCAGCAGGGCTAGGGAGGTGATTGTCCCCCTGTACTCGGCTCTGGTGAGGCCGCACCTCGAGTACTGTGTTCAGTTTTGGGCCCCTCGCTACAAGAAGGACATCGAGGTGCTTGAGCGGGTCCAAAGAAGGGCGACGAAGCTGGTGAGGGGCCTGGAGAACAAGTCCTACAAGGATCGGCTGAGAGAGCTGGGCTTGTTCAGCCTGGAGAAGAGGAGGCTCAGGGGTGACCTTATTGCTCTCTACAGATACCTTAAAGGAGGCTGTAGCGAGGTGGGGTTGGTCTGTTCTCCCACATGCCTGGTGACAGGACGGGGGGGAATGGGCTAAAATTGTGCCAGGGGAGTTTTAGGTTAGACGTTAGGAAGAATTTCTTTACCGAAAGGGTTGTTAGGCACTGGAACGGGCTGCCCAGGGAAGTGGTGGAGTCACCATCCCTGGAAGTCTTCAAAAGACGTTTAGATGTAGAGCTTAGGGATATGGTTTAGTGGGGACTGTTAGTGTTAGGTCAGAGGTTGGACTCGATAATCTTGAGGTCTCTTCCAACCTAGAAATTCTGTGATTCTGTGGATGAGCCTGTTGAAACTAATTCCAGTTGAGAAAGTTTCAGTTACTAGCTTGGTGATATTGTCAGTTCAATATTCAAAGCTGCAGCAAAAGCGAAAGGGGATTTTTGCTTCTAGAAACACCCCAGGTCTGCTGCCTGCACTCTGCGTGCTGTTGAGCTAAGCCATAAAAATAAGTAAATAAAGCACAGCTGCTGCTCCTCTTTCTGATGTCCTGTGCTTTGCCCCTCCCCTTTCCCAGGTGATTGGGTTTGGGTGCTGGGGGCGGGGGCAAAAGGTATATGAGCCGCAGGCATGCCACCAGAGAGCTCCTTCTGCCTGGGCTGCTCTTTGGGGTAAGTGCTTTGTGTTTCCTTCAGTCAGTTGCAGGGTTCTTTAGGTGGGTCAAAGTCTATGGATTTCTGGATTTTAAGTGCTTGGAATTCACTTAATAGAGCTCTATTTAGCAGAGGCCGCTGGCTCACTGTTTTTTGGGGTGGTGGGACACTCTTCTGGTTTGACCTATACTTCAATCTCTAAATGTATAAACCCACCTGTGTAACTCTCCTGAGGACTAAAAGCAGCTTGATTGCATGGTACCTGTGGCTCGGCAGCGTAGATATGCAGCATTGCCAAGAGACTGAGCAGGGTTGTATCAGAGTCTCCTCTTTCATCTGCCAAGGGTGAGTCTGTGATTACCCCTGCCGGGGCTGCTGTGTGTGCATGTCTTTTTGGCATTTATGGAGCTCAGTCGTTTTTTTTTTTTCTGTCTGTTTATGTTCTAACTTTTTGGTTTTTTTGAGGGGCGCATAGTGTGTGTGCTGAGCGTGGGTGGCAGGAGGAGGTGGGGAGCTGCTCAGGACTGGAAGGTTTGGTTTCTAGGAGTACGCGGCATCCTTCCTGTGCGACGTGACTAATTGTTGGGCTGGAACGTTCCAGCTTTTGTGTGTCTTAAGCAACGTAGCTTGTGCAGTGTGTTGTGTGGCCCGGGCAGAGTTTGCCGTGGCGCTGTGAGCGAAGATTCTGAGTTAGAGCTGGTGAGCAGCTGAAGAACTGGAGCTGGGAAGAGAGAGGCATTGCAGCAGGTACGCTGTGGCTGTGAGGTTAGGGTTAGATCCAGGGTTCGGGTTAGGCTTTGGGTTCGGGTTAGGGTTAGGGTTCGGTCTCCCATGGGCGATGTTTCGGCTTGCTCAGGAACAGCGAACCCGGAGGGTCCAGTGTCATGTGGGGCTGTGTAAAGGCTCCCCTGGGGAGTTCTCTTGTACCCAAAGCCTTCCTTTAGGGGCACATTTGGATGGGCGAAAACGGCTCGGAACGCATTTCCTGGGGCCTGATTTTTCACTTGTCTCCGATGACGGCTAGGGCTAGGTTTAGGTTTGCTCAGGAACAGCGAACCCGGAGGGGTGCAGTTTCATGTGGGGCTGCGTAAAGGCTCCCTGGGGAGTTCTCTTGTACCCAAAGCCTTCCTTTGAGGGCACTTTTGGATGGTCCAAAGGGACTCGCAACGCTTTTTCTGGGGCCTGATTTTTCAGTCGTCTTCGATTGCCGGCTAGGGCTATGTTTAGGATGCTCGGAAACAGCGAACCCGGAGGGTCCAGTTGCATGTGGGGCTGCGTAAAGGCTCCCCTGGGGAGTTCTCTTGTACCCAAAGCCTTCCTTTGGGGGCACTTTGGATGCTCCAAAGGGGCTCGCAACGCATTTCCTGGGGCCTGATTTTTCACTTGTCTCCGATGACGGCTAGGGCTACATTTAGGGATGCTCGGAAACAGCAAACCCGGAGGGTCCAGTTGCATTCATAGAATCATAGAATCATAGAATATCCTGAGTTGGAAGGGACCCTTAAGGATCATCAAGTCCACTCTTGACACCGCACATGTCTACCCAAGTTCAGACCATGTGACTAAGTGCACAGTCCAATCTCTTCTTAAATTCAGTCAGGCTCGGTGCAGTGACCACTTCCCTGGGGAGCCTGTTCCAGTGTGCAACCACTCTCTCTGTGAAGAACCCCTTCCTGATGTCCAGCCTAAACTTCCCCTGCCTCAGCTTAACTCCATTCCCGCGGGTCCTGTCGCTGGTGGTTAATGGAGAAAAGGTCTCCTGCCTCTCGACACCCCCTTACGAGGAAGTTGTAGACTGCGATGAGGTCTCCCCTCAGCCTCCTCTTCTCCAGGATGAACAGGCCCAGTGACCTCAGCCGTTCCTCGTACGTCTTCCCCTCCAGGCCTTTCACCATCTTCGTAGCCCTCCTCTGGACACTCTCCAACAGTTCATGTCCTTTTATACTGTGGTGCCCAGAACTGCACACAGTACTCGAGGTGAGGCCGCACCAGCGCAGAGTAGAGGGGACAATCACCTCCCTCGACCTACTAGCGATGCCGTGCTTGATGCTGCGTAAAGGCCCCTTCTGGGAACTTCAGATGTACCCAAAGCCTTCCTTTGGGGGCACTTTTGGATGGGCGAAAAAGGGCTCGCAACGCGTTCCTGGGGCCTGATTTAAAGCTCGTCTCTCGATGCCGGCTAGGGCTATGTTTAGGGATGCTCTGAAACAGCGAACCCGGAGGGTTGCAGTTGCATGTGGGGGCTGCGTAAAGGCTCCCCTGGGGAGTTCACTTGTACCCAAAGCCTTCCTTTGGTGACACTTTTGGATGGTGCAAAGGGGCTTGCTACGCGTTTTCTGGGGCCTGGTTTTTCAGTCTTCTCCCATGCTGGCTAGGGCTACGTTTAGATTTGCTCAGGAACAGCGAACCCTTAGGGTGCAGTTGCATGTGGGGCTGCATAAAGGCTCCCCTGGGGAGTTCTCTTGTACCCAAAGCCTTCCTTTGGTGACACTTTTGGATGGTCCAAAGGGGCTTGCAGTGCGTTTTCTGGTGCTCGGTTTTTTCACTCTTCTCCCATTGCCGGCTAGGGATATATTTAGGGTTGCTCGGAAAAAATCGAACCCGAAGTGTCCAGTTCATGTGGGGCTGCATAAAGTCTCCCCTGGGGAGTTCACTTGTACCCAAAGCCTTCCTTTAGGGGCACTTTTGAAATGGCAAAAGGGGTTCGCAACACCTTTCCTGGGGCCTGATTTTTCAGTCGTCTCGATGCCGGCTAGGGCTATGTTCAGGGATACTCGTAAACAGCGAACCCGGAGGGTCCAGTTGCATGTGGGGCTGCGTAAAGGCTCCCCCTCTGGAGTTCTCTTGTACCCAAAGCCTTCCTTTGGTGACACTTTTGGATGGTCCAAAGGGGGCTTGCAACGCGTTTTCTGGGGCCCGGTTTTTCAGTCTTCTCCCATGCCGGCTAGGGATATATGCAGGGTTGCTCAGGAACAGCGAACCCGGAGGGTCCAGTTGCATGTGGGGCTGCGTAAAGGCTCCCCTGGGGAGTTCACTTGTACCCAAAGCCTTCCTTTGGTGACACTTTGGGATGGTCCAAAGGGGCTTTCAACGCGTTTTATGGGGCCCGGTTTTTCAGTCGTCTCCGATGCCGGCTAGGGCTATGTTTAGGGATGATCGGAAACAGCGAACCCGGAGGGTCCAGTTTGCATGTGGGGCTGCCGTAAAGGCTCCCCTGGGGAGTTCACTTGTACCCAAAGCCTTCCTTTGGGGTTACTTTTGGATGCTCCAAAGGGGCTCGCAACGCATTTCCTGGGGCCTGATTTTTCACTCGTCTCCGATGACGGCTAGGGCTAGGTTTAGGTTTGCTCAGGAACAGTGAACCCGGAGGGTCCAGTTGCATGTGGGGCTGCGTAAAGGCTCCCCTGGGGAGTTCTCTTGTACCCAAAGTCTTCCTTTGGGGCACTTTGGATGGACGAAAAGGGCTCGCAACGCATTTCCTGGGGCCTGATTTTTCAGTCGTCTTCGATGCCGGCTAGGGCTATGTTTAGGGATGCTCGGAAACAGCGAACCCGGAGGGTCCAGTTGCATGTGGGGCTGCCGTAAAGGCTCCCCTGGGGAGTTCTCTTGTACCCAAAGCCTTCCTTTAGGGGCACATTTGGATGGGCGAAAACGGCTCGGAACGCATTTCCTGGGGCCTGATTTTTCACTCGTCTCCGATGACAGCTAAGGCTACGTTTAGGTTTGCTCAGGAACAGCG